ACCAGGAGAAAAAGGGTTGGCGTATATCAGCCGATGTCGCGAATTGCGCGACAAGCTTCTTCGATGTGGAGGGTCAATCTCTGAAGACGCCTTCGTAACAGTCGTCATCGGCGGCCTCGGTCCTCAGTGGCGCGCCACCAAAGCAATTCTTCGAGCACACGGGAGGATCTCCGAAGCGGCACTTTGCGCAGAAATTCACGCCGAGCAGCAGGATATGGACCTGCAAGAAGAAAGACACAAGAAAAGGACATTAGCACCGGAGTTTGCTTTCCATACTCAGCGACGACACAACTACTACAACAATCGACAGCAGCAGCCGAAGCTAGTACCTCCATTTTGTCACATCTGCAAGACATCAGGACACCCACGCACGCACTGCCCGTCTCGACAGACAACACCACAGCGACAACTGCGGCCTTCAACCACCCAAGTTGCTTCGACACAAGCAAGCTCGACAACCACGATTCAAGCTTCAACAACCACAACTGGACAACCTGCGCAAGGAGCAAGACATATAGTCAACTGCATGGTCAAGATAAACGACTCTTGCATAACAGAGTCACCACCCCATTACTCACCGGAAGAGGAGCTCGACAACAGGACGCCTCGTCGCGAATCACTCCATCCAAATCCGACTTACGCCGCTATCGCTCAAAGTGAACCGTCCGGCCAAGACACCTGGTTCTTGGACAGTTGCTGCGGGCAACACATGTGCTCGTCCGGGCGTTTCGTACAACGCGAACATCGACTCCAACGGGAAGTGATCATCACGGTTGCCAACAACCAAAACCTGCGCACACGAAGACAAGGAGTGGTACAGCTTCAATCAAGAGAAACAAATGTCATACTGCACATGTCTAAGGTACTCATCGCTGAAGGACTCGGCTACAACTTACTGAGCGTTAGCAAGTTGATGGCGAAAGGAATTCATCTGGAAGCCGACAGCACGACCCAGGAGTTCAAGCTTTACCACGGGAGAGGCGGTCTCTACATCGGAAAAGCAGTGCTGAAGAACAACGTCTTCGTCCTCGACTTCGCTCCCGACCTCGGCACTGCAGACAGCGACGCCATTGTGAACTTTGCTGATTGGACACACCCTCCGGATCTCGACCCCGACTTCAGCCCGGGAGGTTTCTGGTACTCCCACACTATCCCTGAAGCAGAACGAACAAGAGCGTTAGCAACGATTCAACAAGAAGCAGCAGCGACAACATCGGCAGCAGCGACAACATCGGCAGCAGCAACAACATCGGCAGCAGCGACAACATCGGCAGCAGCAACAACATCGGCAGCAGCAACAACATCGGCAGCAGCAACAACATCAGCAGCAGCAGGAACAACGACACCAGTCACAGTCGACGAAGCACCACCAACACCCGCGCAACAGCTGAATCCGACTCAACGTGAAGTCCACCGAAGCGCCAACCTCGTCGCCAGCTTTTACTCCAACTCCGACGCATATCAGCGCTCACCCGGACACCGCGCCTCTGAAGAGATCTGGCACGCACGAACAGGACATCCAAGCAACACGGTTTTGAACAACACGATAAGAGCAGGAGTCCTTGACAAAGACTCTCTACTTCTACCCGATGGCAGAGAACTCCAGAAGGCACGAGGGACTTGCCTTATATGTCCCGAAGCTGACTTACCTCATCGACCGTTTGCTTCACATCACAACCCGAGTGCTCCAGCGTACGCACCACTCGAAAAGGTCTACAGCGACATCCTCTACAATCGCGAACCAGGCCAAGTCAACTACAACTACACCATCACCTTCATCGACGCCGCCACTCGATACGTCTGGCATCGCAACCTACCCAGCCGCGACATGGCGCTCGCAGCATTCACCGCCTGGCTACCGATAGCAGAGAGAGAGTCTGGAACACAACTGAAAAATTTCCAGTCAGACGGAGGTGGCGAGTACACCTCTCAGCGCTTCAAGCAGTTCTTGGCGGAAAGGGGGATCAAGCAACTCCTCTCCCTTCCCTACGCACATCAGCAGCAAGGTGTTGCAGAACGACTGAGCAGGACCCTGCAGAACAGCATGCGCAAACTGTTACGTGGCATGCGGCTACCCAACCACCAGTGGCCAGCAGCAATGGACCACGCTGTCATGCTGCACAACTTGTTGTCGTCGTCGTCACTCCCGAACAACGCATCACCGCATCTGCTGTGGACAGGGAAGCAGGGCAGCACGAAAATGTTACGAGTTTTCGGGTGCATGGTACAGTACAGACCCCCAGAAGCACGAGCGGGAAGATTTTCGCAACGGGCACAATGGGGACTACACCTCGGCATCGAGAAAAATTACAACGCATGGAGAATCTTCGACGTCCACACAAAGGAAACAGTAGCAGCACGTGACGTGATCTTCTACGAAAGACTCACCCTTCAGACGTACCTCGCCAACTTGCACGAGAATCGGAATCTCACCAGTGGTTTTCGTGGTGACCGAGCCTTCGCGTCAGCAGCAGACGAAGCAGACTGGGATGAACAGAACGTCGACAATGCCTCGGAAGAAGCCGGACCTCTCCTATACTGCTCCGTCGACGTGCCCATGGATGAAGATAATCCTCGCGACAGTAACAACGCCGAAATCTTCTACCGTTTCGCCGACGATGGTTACGTAACACCTGTGACAGTCAACACCAACGAAGCAGAAAGGGTAGGGCCAAATTTCATGCCCGACCCAGAAACGGGAGACGAAGCAGCTTATCCCGAGGATCCAGAACTCCCTCGATACTCACAGACTGGGCTGCAAATCCTTGGTCTCGTCACCGCAGTCCATGGCGCCGGCATTCCTAAGGAGCCTGCGACGGTTCAGCAGGCTCTGGGGGGGGAACACAGGGAGAAATGGCGTGAAGCTATGGACAAAGAGCTGAAGGCACTGGAGGAGCGCAACACCTGGAAAATTGTTCCCATCGGCGCAACTCAAAATAAAAACATTCTTACCGCGAAATGGGTCTTCCGTGTGAAGACGAAAGCTGACGGCACCATCGACAAATTCAAAGCCCGCTGGGTCGTACGTGGCTTCGACCAGGAGCACGGAAGAGATTACACCGAAACCTTCGCTCCGGTCAGTCGCCACACCTCACTCCGAATTCTCATCGCCGTCGCCGCCATGAAGAAAAAGAAATTGCGACAAATCGACGTTGCGAACGCATTTCTCTACGCACCTGTGGATGCAGAAATCTTCGTTGAACTCCCGCACGGCTCCCACGGCGAACCCAACCGAGTGTGTCAACTACTCAAATCACTCTATGGGATCAAGCAGGCACCACGACTGTGGCAGCAGTACCTACACGCCCGCCTCACCCGCATCGGCTTCAAACAACTCCCGCATGACCAGGGCATGTATCGCCTCACAAAAGGAGGCGATTACGTCCTACTAATCGTCTATGTGGACGATCTCCTCTACATTGGGTCAACCGACGACATCGCCACGTGGTTCGAAGGGGAGCTCCAGAAAGACCTCACGCTCACGGTCTCTTCTACGGTTACGCAATACCTCGGGCTCAACATCCGTGAGGAGGAAAACGCAATCTACCTAAGTGCCGAGAAGTACGCCGACACTATCGCGAAACGCTTTCGTCTCACACCAAGCGCCATCTCCACGCCTTATCGCTACGCGTCAGGAACCGAAAAGGGGCAATCTACTCTACTTAAACCCGCCGGCATACGCGACTATCAGAAGAAGCTTGGATGCCTTCTTTTCGCAGCAGTCACATGCCGTCCCGACCTATCCTACTCCGCGAGTCAGCTCGCTACCTATCTCAAGAGACCCGAAGCAGAGCATCTGGCGGAACTCGATCGTGCTCTCCACTACTTCGTCAGCACCGCGACGATCGGACTAACTTATCACAAAAACGTGACTACACCGACCAAGCTAATCGGCTACGTCGACGCCGATCACGCCGGCGACACCGACAACAGGCGCTCACGCACCGGCTATGTCTACCGCCTTGAGCCTATCGGTCCTATCTCCTGGCAGTCGAGCAAGCAGGAGTTAATCGCACTATCTTCAGCAGAAGCAGAATATATTGCACTCTGCTCAGCCACCAAGGAGGGACTTTATCTTCGCGAACTACTGGAAGAAGCGAAGCTAGCCGAGTTACCCAGCTTCACCGTGTTCTGCGACAACCAGTCGGCAATTCGCATCGCCAACAAAAACGGCTTCGCAAACAGGACGAAACACATCGCCCTGCGCTATTTCTTCGTGAAGGACGAGATAGAAAAAGGGAAACTCGATCTGTCATACTGTCCAACATCCGAGATGGCAGCCGACTACTTGACCAAGAAACTCGGAAAGCAGAAGTTCGAATACTGCATGATGCTGACTGGACAAGGCCACGTCACCAGCAACGACACTCCGGAAGCGAAGGGGAGTGTTGGAAACAATAAGTCCTAAGTGCGCTTCTGTCGTATCAAAATCCAAGGCACCAAGCGAAGCAGTCCCAATCGAAGCATCGAGTCAACCTCGGAGGTTAGAGTAACCGCCTGGAGGTTACGAGAAAGTCAAAGGTCGCTGATCTTTGACTCGACAATCACAGCGCGACAGTTAAGGACACACAACTGACTCGTTACAGAGCAGTTGCCCGAGTCGCACTGTATCGAACCGCAACAGCAATACAGTTATCTATCTATCTATTCGTATTCCCTGTACTCTTATATAAACCCTTGTATTTGCTTGTTTAATTTAATCTACTTTGCTCTCACACACCAGTGCAAGGTCGGTTCACAATCCTCATTAAACGCTTCCGCTATTACAAGTTTCTACCCAAGAGTTCTCCTCTGCAAAGATCCTAAGGGCTATTTTTCAGCCCAACAAGCCCAACACGCGAAACCAAGGCTACCCACGCGCACTTTTGCCAAAAAAATACAAACACTGTTGTTGTTCCCAATAGTGAGGAGGATTATAGATGCCAGCACACCGAACACAATATTTTTACTGGCGGCAATTTATGTAGGGAAATTTGATATGCTTTTGTGCCTATGATCCATTATCTTACAACATCCCTTTCTCCGAAGCTTTCTGCTATCCCTCTCAGCACCTCCACAATCCTGCTCATATTCCCCAGCCCCATTCTCCAGGGCACCTCTCCCTGACACAGCAACAGGTGGTAATCCAACCCACACGCATCCGCCAGCCGATGAAACACCGCATACTCGCTCCCCTGCGCCCCCTGCGGCCGCAGCTCCAGCACTACGGCACGGGGCGGCATGAAGACCATGTGGTTGAGCAGCGGGGCGTGCGGGGCCACAAACACGCGTGCGCGGTTGAACGTGCGCTTCACTGTCACCAGGTCTAAAGCGGCTGAGCCCCCCACTGTGCGCAGGCGGCGGGCTCCGAATGCTTCCACGAGGGCGAGATGCAGCTCTGCCAGCTCCTCCGCTGTGCCCGCTCCTGGCCGCTTGCCCCACACCACCACCCAGTCGTCCCCTGCCTCCACCGCTGCTGCTGCTGCTGTTGCTGCTGCTGCTGCGTCTGCTTCTGAAGGTGCTCGGAGAGTGAAGTCTGGATTGAAAATGGGGAAGCCATTGCTGCAGAGGGAGGCGGGATGGGGAGGAAGCAGTGGGAGAGTCAGGTGAGGGTATAGACAGATGGAATAGGAGAAAGTAAGGAGGATGGATTAGCAAACGAACCGGGGTGGCGGATGAAATTCAAGTCAGAACTGGGGTGCGCAAGCAGACGCAAGGGGTTGAGGAGGGAGAAGAGGAGGAGGGGAGAGGCAATCGAATGGAAAGAAAAAAGTAAACGAGAGAGAAACAGAGTGTGTATATGTGTGTGAACAAGCAGGAGAGGGAGAGAGGAAAAACGTGAGGGAACTTGAGGTGAGGTGCAGGTACAGAGGAGTGAGGAGTGAGGAGGGAGGAGGGAGGAGCGGAGATGGGTGAGGGAGCGTACGGGGGCAGCAGGTAGTGGTGGCGGAGTGTCTGCCAGAGAGCTCGGCTGGGCTTGTGGCAGCGCTGGTGCACCGGCTGTAGGAGAATGTCTGTGGGGACGGGGGTGGAGAGGTGAGAGGGGGGGGGAGGAAGGGGTGCTGAAGTAGAAGCAGTTGGTACACTATTTACCCCCTTGCACACCGATACCACATGCGAGACAACAAGCGAGAGAAGATCACAAGCACAAGCACGAACATCTACGTATGTGACATGGCATGGATGTGGAGAGAGGCAGGCACGAGAATACATGCACGCACCAACGAGCACGACATCTCGGCCTCTCAGCTCTCGCACGTCCATGAGCCCAAAGTCCACGCCAGTCACCTCCGCCCCCAGCAGCAGCAGCGCCCCCTCCTGCGACGAATGTACCCCCTCCCATTCCCCCTCCCCCCCTCGCCCTCCCTTCCCCCCAAAAAACCCCGACAGCCCCTTCCTTTTCCTCCTCCCCCTGCCCCTCTCCCCCCACCCACCACCACCCCCCGCGTTCCCATCCCCCTCCCCAGCGGTGGCGACGAGGAAGGACATGAGGGGCATGGCGGCGAGGGAGGAGTGCAGGGCGAGCAGCAGCGGCAGGTAGTGCACCAGGGCGTCGCTGGCGTGCAGGGCGTGGGGGAGCGCCAGGTTCACCGCCAGGGGTAGGTGCAGGTTCGCCCGTGGGACCGACGCCCGCGTGTACGGCTGCTGTTGTTGGCGCTGCTGCTGCTGCTGGTACTGCTCTTGGTGGTGTTGCACTTGACTGTCACTGGTGAGGTGGTGGTTGTTGCTTGGGTTGGCAGGGCTGGGGTGGTCGGAGGGAGCAGGGCAGGCGTTTGAGTGGAAGAGAGTGGTGCCGTTGAACACTCGCCCCCACGCGTCCACTCGCACACTCTCCAGCCGAAACACCTGCACACCGGGTGGGGGGGACAAGGAGGTGGAGGAGGGGAGAAGGAGGGGGAAGAGAGGAGAGGGGAGAGGGGAGAGGGGAGAGGGGAGAGGGGAGAGGGGAGAGGGGAGAGGGGAGAGGGAGGCATGGCATGGGGTTAGCGGGATAGAACGAGCAGTGTGGGGGTCCGGGGGCAATGAGCTGCAAGCCCCATGTGCTGGACTTGCTGCCTGCCGTCCTGCTCACCATGCCGCTACTGCAAACCATCCTCGCCATGCCTCACCACCTTTCTCCCTTTCCCATTTCCCGCTTTTTTTCTCCTGGCAATGGAACCGGCTGGCCATAAACCCTCCTCCCTCCCAGAGTCCTCTCCCGCCCTACGAACCATCATCGCCTCACAGCTACTCCGTCCGTCCCTCCCCCACTCCCTCACCAACACGCCCCTCTGTCCCCTCTCACACTCTTTCCCTTGCCTTCCCCTCCACAACACCATTCTCCCTCTGCTTCCTTCATCCGCCACTCCACCTCAGAATCCACTCATGTCCAATTCCGTATCCCCATTGCTCACTGTCTCTCTCTGACCCTCCCACCCGACCCCCCCCTTTACACGCCCCATCCCCCCCTTCCCGCATCCCCACCTGGCTCATCCACTGCGGCAGCAGTTCAAAGTCCGCCTCATGCCCGCACAACGCACTGCGCGCCGCCGCTGCCACTGCCTTGCCTGCCGCCCGACTGCCACTGCTGCCACTGCCAGCACTGCCAGCACCGCCAACAGCAGTACCAGCTACAGCGGCACCAGCACCAGCACCAGCAGCAGAAGCAGCAGCAGCACCAGACGAGTTGGTGGCAGGGCTAGGCTGGAGGCGAGGGCAGGTGGAGGGCGTGCGGGGGCGGGCGAGCAAGGGGTCGTGCAGGCCTTTGTTCCAACACGCCGCCACGCCACTCAACTCGCCCTCACAGTTGCCAAACACCGGACACTCCTCCCCCACACACACCCCCTCGCCCTCCCCGCCTCCCATCACACCCTCCCTGCTCCTGCTGCTGCTGCTGTTGCTTGCTTGCAGCGAGCGAGCGGATACTGCAGCTCTGGCGGCCTTGCGCCGTTTATACAAGTCCAGGTGCACGGGGGTCAGTGCTCCCCGCTTCGCCCTGCGCCGCCGCCACCACCCTCCCTTGCCACTAGACGCCTCACCACCGCCGCCCCCACCTGTCCTCTCGCTCCCGCCACTCCTCTCCCCTGCACCCACCCTCCCACTCTCGCCCCCGTTTCCAATGCTGCTGCTGTTGCTACTACTGCTGCTTGTCACTCCACTGCTGCCACCACCACCACCCCCCACAGCCTTCGCCCTTCCCGCATCTCCCCCAACTCCTGAACCTGCTTTCCCCGACTGTGCCCCTTCCAATTTGGAATCCCCGCTCTTAGCCCCACTGCCAGTCCCCCCTTTCCCCACAACCGCGCTTGCTGTTTCCCCGGACCCCTTGTCCTTCCCCGCGCCACTTGCGCCACTCTTCCCAGCTCCCGCATCTCCTCCGCCCGCCGCTGGCGGTTTCTTGCTCCCCCCCGCCCCCGCCTTCTTCTCCGCGCCCCCGCCCGCACCAATCTGCGCCGTTTTGTTTCCCCCCTTACCGCCCCCCGGCTTCGCCTGCACCTGCGCCTGCGCCTGTGCCTTTAACTTGGCCGCGCGCTTCCGCGCGCGCCGCTTGCGCCCCCAGCGCTTGCCCAGGCGGTCGCGCGGAACGACGTGCGGGTGCGCGGTGAGTCCGATCTTCCACGGGAACACGTGCCTGTGCCGCTCCCACTTCACGAACCCCCGGTGGCGCGTCTCCGATATAAGCTCCTTCTGCTCCGCGAAACCCACTAAGAGCTGCAGCACGAGCACCCAATAGACGAACCCGAGAACAAGGCACAGCAGCAGCAGCCACGACCCGATCCGCCTACTGCCGCCGCCGCCGCCGCCGCCGCCGCCGCTGCCGCCGCTGCTAGGGCCCGGAAAGAAGAAGCGGAGCCACGAGTTGCGGGAGGAGTGGTGCGCGCCGGCGCCGTTGCGCGAGGAGGAGGTCTGCGGGGGGCCCTTGCGCTCCCTCATGGGGTGCTGCGCGCCACTGGGGGGGTCTCTTGCGCTCCCCCCCTTACTGAATGCCTAACCTAGCCCCCTGCTGCGACGCCGCACGTGGCGCGGAACCCGGAAGCGCGCGGGTGCTTGATACGCGTCTCATGGGTTGCTGTGCCGTCGATGATCTGACGTAACTTCTGATCTGTATCGCCTTTGACTCATATCGAGGAGAATCTTCGCACGTTAATACTTAGGGCGTTGCGTCTATAGATGGCGAATGTCGGTTCACCAGGCTGGGTCAGGACTGAGCGACTGAGTCGTCACTTCACTACTTCAGGCGTTGATATGTTGATAGGTCATCTCATCTGGCTTCTCTGGTGATTGGCCAGCACAACTCTCGGGGGAACCGACAATGCACAGTCCCATTGATAGTGAGGATTGCCATAGTGAGGACGCGGCACCTGTTTTCAAATTTCCACGATCGATCCTCGCGGGGATCGATGTGTCAGGTCTACAGTATTTTGACGACGTCGCTAAAGGTCTGGTATCCTTTGTCGCCTATTTTCGTTTATGTACAGTAGATATGGCAGCAAAAAGGTGTCACCTGTGGCTCGCGATGTGCCTGCACCCTCACATCGATCGTGAAATTGTGGAGATCGGGGCATTTTTGCCCCAGAAATTTGCGATCGTGTCACCTGAGGCTCGGTGTGTCCAGGCGATCGCAAAAGGCAGTTGGGCACACTGGTGTGCCCACCGATCGTGGCAGGATCGATGTGAGGCCCCGATCCTTCTCCGATCGTGCCAATTTGAAAACAGGTGCCGCGTCCTAAGGGCGGAGTCAGGTTGCACAACTGCTGTAGGCTCACTGCGGTCAACTTCGTTTGTCACGGTGAAAACGGTAAACCCTTCGACCGCTTTTTAACGTGCGGAACCGTCTTGAGCTAGAAATGTGCAACCTGGCTTCCCGAAAGGACGTTCTTTTGCGTCCTTTTGTGTTCTTTTGCGTTATTTTGTGTTCTTTTGCGTTATATGGGCCATTCTTGAAAAGTTGGAATGACTGTTCGACCAACCGTTTTTGTCGGATGTTCGAATAACGAATCGAAGTTTCAGCACCAGCTGGCAGAGCGAACTCACCTTCGACCATGTGCACATGCGAACACTTGCAAAACAGAGTAGCTTTGATGACTGGTAGGCTGGAAACTTGGCTGGAAAAGCTCAACAGAGCTGCTGGACTTGGCTTGATGAGAGAAAACTTCACTATGATCAAGATTAACAAGCCCACTAAAGCACAACTTCTTAAGCATTACAAACATGCAGATTGATAGCTCAAACTAGGCTGCTAGACAAGGCAACTTCCTTGGGAACTTGGGCACAATTCAGATTCCATGAACCTTGAGTGACTTGAGAGCCACATGAGGTGCATGAATAAGAAATCTCTGGAATGTACTGTTATAGCTGATTCTGTTTTGTAGAAACCTGTGGAAACTGTCGACCCTTCTGTTTGAGAGCAATCCCGAACTGTATCGAGTCTTCGGTTGCAATCTGATTTGCTGCGGAAGTTTCTGAATTTTCGCGAAGCCTTCAATCCGTCGCCGACATTCTTGCTGCTCCTTGTGTGCAAAGAGCTGGGGCGGCAGAGACTCGATTCTCCAACACGTTCCCTCGCACCAGACCCGAAGCACACATACGCCCATTCTTACTCTCCTCTTACATCTCCTTGGCATACACTCCATGCTGCTGCCCATGTTGCTTTTCCTCATTCTCCTCAAACTGCTGCACTGCTTCATGAAGTGTCATGAGACCTGCTCTTGCCTTGCACATGTTGAATGCATCATGAGGAAGAACCTTAGTCATGAAATCTGCCGCTTGGTCGAATGAACGGCAAAAGTTGACGGCGAGAACTCCCTTCTCTAGTTGCTCACGAATGAAATGGTACTGCACCTCGATGTGTTTCGTACGCCCATGATGAACCGGATTCTTGGAGAGGGCGATAGCTGAAGTGTTGTCCACGTAGAGCGGAGTTGGTTGAGTTTGCGGCTGCCTCAAGTCCTCCAAGAGTCCACGTAACCAAATTGCCTCCCTTGCTCCTTCGGTCATTGCTATGTACTCAGCTTCGGTTGTAGAAAGTGCCACACAACTTTGCTTGCACGATTGCCAAGAAACAGCGGCACCGCACATAAGGAAGATATAGCCACCGGTGGACTTGCGTGTGCTCAAATCTCCCGCCCAATCTGCATCGGTAAAGCTTTGGAGGGAGCTTGCATGTGGGCTGGCTTGGAAGAGAAGACCATGATTAGAAGTACCTTTGAGATACCGAAGAGCTCGCTTGGCTGCATGCATATGGATAGGTGATGGGGCACTCATATGTTGAGCGAGCTTGGATACCGTGAATGCTAGGTCGGGCCTTGTGCATAGTGCTGCATACATGAGACACCCAACCTGACTTTGGTAGAGAGCTAGGTCTTATGGGGATACCTTGTGTGAATTCTCACCATGATGCTCACTCTCCTCAAGACACAACTCCTCAATACCCGTGATATCCAGGCTTGACTCTCTCTCCTCAAAGGGCTGATGTGAAGACAAAGTGACAAAGTTGGTAGGAAGTGGTGTAGGTGATGGCTTGCTATCATCAAGACCAAACCTCTCAAGGACCTTTTGGATGTACCTTTGCTGGAATAGGAAGATGGACCGTGACTTATGATCTCTCACAATGTTCATACCAAGATAATGACTCGGCTCACCAAGATCGGTCATTGTGAATGCACTCATGAGAATACCTTTCACCTTGTTGAGGAGATCAAGAGAACCTGAGACTAGGAGGAGATCATCGACATATACCAAGAGCCAAATGTACTCCCCCTCACTCGTGTGCATGAAGTACAACGCGTTGTCTCTCATGGACCTTGTGAAACCGTGCTTGAAGAGTACCTTCTCAAGAGCATGATACCATACCCGTGGGGACTGTTTGAGACCATAAAGGGACTTTACCAAGCGACAAACTCGACCCGTACCATCATCATAACCTTCGGGTTGTGCCATGTATACCTCTTCTTCCAAGACACCGTAGAGAAATGCGTTCTTGACATCCATTTGATGGATATGGAGACCAAGATATGCGGCTATGGCGAGGAGGACTCGTACCGTGGTGTACTTCGCTACTGCGGCAAAGGTTTCGGTGAAGTCTAGACCTGGAATTTGGGAATAACCTTTTGCCACTAACCTTGCCTTGTACCTATCAAGTGTACCATCACCTTTTACCTTAATCTTGTACACCCACTTGACACCAAGTACCTTCTTCCCTGGAGGTGGCTCAACAAGACGCCATGTACCTCTCTTCATGAGACTCTCAATCTCTTCTTCCTCGGCCTTCAACCATTGCTCTCTCTCGGGACTTGCCACTGCCTCACGACGACTCAATGGCTCTCGTGGAAGGTGTGACGCTGCCATGCATATTGCCTCTACCTTCTTGTGAATGCAATCCTCGCTCTCCTCACATGTGCACCTTGATGACATGTCAACCATGAATGTGAAGGGCTTTTTTACCTTGCGGACTCGTTTACCTTTACCCAAAGCCTCACTTGGCTGAGACAAATCAATGGTAGGGTTCGGTCTCACAGTGGTTGGATGCGTTGACTCGGTCATCTGCGGCTGAGACAATGGCTGCGACATCGGCTGCGACGGCGGCACGACTGCATTATCTTCTCCCGGCGTGGAACTCTCTCGATTATCGGTGTTGACTTGAGGAATAGGTATGGTGACTTGTGTCGGTGAAGCTGAAATGTTCGTCGCCATAGTTGGCTGTGAAGATTCTCTTGGTGGGGATCTTGAGACTAGAAGCTTGGGAATTGATGATGACGCTGCGTTGTCGAAAGTTGGAGACGGTTCGGTCTGATTGGCGCTGTTTCTCGGTGTTGAAGATGGCGGTAACTGATGACGGCCGATTCCGGGACGTGGGGGTGAAGTTGAGAAAGGTCTTGGGTGAAGAAGTGGGCTGTTGGAGCTGGTGTTGGTGGTGATTCGCTGAAGTGATCCTCGTGCTATGAGCTGGCTTGACATTGGAACCTGAAGTGATGAACGTGTGTGAGAACGAGATGTTGCGGTAATGGTTGTCTTGTTGGTAGGAAGAATTGTAGATGGTGCTGATGTAGGTACTTGGAGTCTTGTAGCTGTAGGTTGCTGCTGCATTGGATGATGGTGAGCTTCTGTAGTTGCCTTTGAATTGACGGCTGGTGATGGGTTTGATGGTGTAGTGGTGGGCTGATCCGGGTGACGTTGAACTTGCGGCGTTGGTGTTGAAGTAGCTGGCTGGTTGGTGACGGTTGGCTGCTGCTCCTTTGGCGGTGATGTAACGGTGACTTCTTGGGGTGGATTGTCTTCATTTGACGGCTGAACCACATCTCCACTTGGTTGAGTAGCTGCTGGTGGCACTGGTGTGGCGCAGCCGGTCTCGTTGACGACAGCTTGCGGGAGATCGATGATGGGTCCGCTATGGTCAGAATTGGTGTCATCTCCGTCCTCCTCTTGTGTTGTTTCCTCAGGTGCTCTTGCTGGTTCCTGTTGGAGAGAGGGTGGTAGAGAGGAGGAAGAGGAAAACTTGTGCCAATCTGCAAGGGACATGTCTTCATAGAAGACCACATCCCTTGAAACCACTTCTCGCTTGGTGACGGGATCCCAAAGGACCCATCCCTTGCTCTCGTTGCTCATGCCGATGAAGAGGCCCCAATGAGCTCTGCTGTCCAGCTTGACTCTCTTTGCATCTGGAACACGGTATTGGGTCATGGAACCAAAAACACGAAGCATAGACAGATCTGGTTTAACTCCAAACCAAGCCTCATATGGCATTACACCATCCGGTAGGGGCCTTGTGGGTCTCCTGTTGCGAACATAGATTGCCATAGTGATTGCCTCACCCCACCAGAGCTTGTCAAGGCCCTTAAACTGAAGAAAAGTGGTAGCTATTGCTTGAATAGTGCGATGAAACCTCTCTGCAACTCCATTTTGCTGAGGACTATAGGGACAAGTGAACTGTTGTTTGATGCCCAATGCCAACAACTCCCCCTGAAATGCTTTTCCCATGTACTCACCTCCTCGGTCCGACCTCAAGGTGAGTAACTTCTTCCCTGACTCTCTCTCAACAAGTGCTAGCCATTGCTTGAAACACTTGTGAACTTCATCCTTGGTGTTGATGAAAAATGACCACGAGAAACGACTCTTGTCATCAATGAAAGACACCAAATATCTCTTACCGTTTCGAGTAGGGTCTCGCATGGGGCCAAATACATCAGTGTGGACCAACTCTAGGAGGTCCCTTGACTGAGACTTAGAAGGGAAAAATGGCTTTCTAGCTAGCTTACCCTCAACACAAGATGGACATGGAACGGAAGAAAGGGACTTGACTGCAATTTCACTCAAACTCAATCCTTCCACGCTCTTGTGATTCACCAACTCTTTCAATGCTTGCATTCCCAAGTGCCCCAAGCGTGCATGCCATACCTCAGCTTGGGAGATACTCCCTTTGTTGGTTGAAACAGCGGGAAGCGAGACAACGTCGTTCTTCGTATTGTTAGAACCGCGCTTGATCTCCAACTTCATCTTGTAGAGCCGCCCGGTACGCTCGCCTTCAGCCACCAAATTTCCTGCACTGTCCCACACTTTGGCTTTCCCCCCTTGCAATAGTACAGAGGCACCTTTCTCTTCAAGTTGTCCAGCTGAGAGCAAGTTTGCTCCCAAATCAGGAACAAACAAAGCTTTATTGACACAAAATGACTTACCATCCTTTTCGAACTCAAGCTTGCCGACTCCTTTGATAGGTACTTTGCCAAGATCAGCAAGTGTCACAGCTTTTGAGTCATATGAGGGCTGAAAATCCTTGAGAATGGACTGATAGGGAGTCATGGTTTCATAACAGCCACTATCAAGGATAAACTCCTCACTACTAGTAGAAAAAACGTGCATGCAAGAGGCGGCGTTGAAAAGGACAGGACCTTCAGAATCTTTGGACTCATTTTGACTTGTAGAATGACTTGCCATGTTTGCTATGGCTGCCTTACCCTTTTCGGATAGTAGCTGAGGTGGGGGAACTCAATTAGGAGGCTTCTTAGGACAAGCATACCACGGATGACCCCACTCATGACAACAAAAACACTCGAAATTAAACTTTTTAGCATTTGAGGCTTGGCTGAAATTATTGACTCTTGGCGTATAGACTCGTGCATTCCTAGGCTGATATTGTTTGGGAATAGAAGGCCTTGGCTGGACATAGGGACTTGACTTATAGGGAGGACTTGACTGAGCAAAACGAGAGGGTTTGTATGGGTTGGAAGGTGACTGAAAATTCGTACCATAGTAAGGTTGAGGGCGGTTTGGGCTGAAATTTCCTTGCCTCTGGGATTGGTTGCCATATCTTGTAGCTGCTGCAACACTCCACGCACCCTCGTCACTCCGCTTGTTTCGTGCAAGGTCTCGACTTTGCTGCTCGTTGACAAGGGCTTCGAAGATGAACGCACGGGTCTTCATTGATTGCGGAAGTGCTTGTAGTGTTGCACGGAAAGTGTCCCACTCCGGTGTAAGGCCGGTGAGGATGACGGTCTTGAAAAGAGACTCTAGAATCTCCAAGCCGATCGCGGCTGCTTCCTCTAGCATCTTTCAGCTCGTTGAAGGTAGGTGTGGGCTGGTTCTTCTTCTTCCATCTTGAGACTCATGAAGCGGCTCCACATCTCGGCCGGGCTGCTCTCGGATTTTGACTGGTGCATAGACTTCAGTCGGCTCCATGCTTCCTCTGCGCTGTTTGCCTTTGTAGAGCAGGGTAGGAGCGACTTCAACTGCTGCTCGTGAATGCTATTGAGTAGGTAGAGGAAGGCCTCCTTGTTGCGCCGTTCGTAGAGTCGTTTTTCAGCTCTGAAGCATCTGCTGCTGGTTTGGCTGCTTCTCCAGTGTAGTAAGGCCAGAGATCCAGAAGGGATGCAGTGAGCTCAAACTGAGTTGCCCATGTTGGAAAATCTTTGCCGTTGAACTTGGGGAGGTGAAGCTTAGGCATGAAGGAGGTGAGTGGTGAGTATGTAGTTGAAGAACTGCCTGGTGCAATTGCTTCCACTAATCCAGTAGCTCCTGATGTTGACTCTGAAGCTCCTCCGGCTGGCTGGAGTGCAGGGCCAGATGAGTTGTCTCCCGCCATGGATGGATTGTGCTAGGATAGGAAGGTGGTGGCGCTCGGTTGATCGAAACGACGGGCTCTGATACCAACTTGCAAAACAGAGTAGCTTTGATGACTGGTAGGCTGGAAACTTGGCTGGAAAAGCTCAACAGAGCTGCTGGACTTGGCTTGATGAGAGAAAACTTCACTATGATCAAGATTAACAAGCCCACTAAAGCACAACTTCTTAAGCATTACAAACATGCAGATTGATAGCTCAAACTAGGCTGCTAGACAAGGCAACTTCCTTGGGAACTTGGGCACAATTCAGATTCCATGAACCTTGAGTGACTTGAGAGCCACATGAGGTGCATGAATAAGAAATCTCTGGAATGTACTGTTATAGCTGATTCTGTTTTGTAGAAACCTGTAGAAACTGTCGACCCTTCTGTTTGAGAGCAATCCCGAACTGTATCGAGTATTCGGCAGCAATCTGATTTGCTGCGGAAGTTTCTGAATTTTCGCGAAGTCTTCAATCCGTCGCCGACATTCTTGCTACTCGTGTGCGAAGGGCTGGGGCGGCAGAGACTCGATTCTCCAACACGACCTTGGACTTGCTAGGCTTCTAGTATTCGTCCCTACCAGCCCGTCACATCAGGAGCGAAATGGCAGAGCATCCTGGCGATAGCGACGCGAGTAGTGTTCTCGAGTCGCTCTCCAGACTCGCCTCCACTCCAAATCTCTGCTGCCCTTTTGTGTCCATCCTAGTACCGCGCTACCTCGGCTGGGTGTTTCACAGATCTGTCCTACGGATTGGTTGTCGCAACACGTACAAGTCCGTCAGTTCAGCAGTGCGAGTAAAACGAGACAGCTTTCCGGCGCAAACGGTATGGTGCTGACAGTGAAGAGGTAGGAGATGGCGGGCGGCGAGGGGGAGCGCGTAGCGGCGTTGGAGGCGAAGCTGAGAGAGCAGGGCGACGCCATGGCTGCCATGCAGCGCGACATGGCCCTCCTCAAGGGCATGGCGGAGGGGGCAGGAAAAGGGAGTGCGTCAGGAAAGGCAGCAGAGGGCATTGGCGCGCAGCAGCTGAAAGGCGCGCGGGGAAGAATTCTCACACCGTTGGAAATGGAGGAGGTGAAGGCGCAGGCAGAAGCGGCAAGAAAGGAAGCGAGTGAGATGCGCGGGGAGGTGGGCGCGCTGAAGGCGGAGCTTGCGCGGATGAGGGCTGCGGCGGAGCGGCAGGCGGCGGAGGTGGCGTACGTGAAGGCGACGGCGGCGCACTCGGAGGCGCGCATCAACGACGTCGAGCTGGCGCTCGCCGCCATCAAGGACGGCCGCCGCGCGGAGAAGATGTGCGAGGATCGCGAGGAGGACAGCGCGGGGAAGAGGCGGAAGAGGGAGGATGCGGGAAAGGAGGAGATGGCAGATGCTCCTGCGGGGGCTGGGCGCGTGCTTGCCGCTGCTGGCGATGTGCCTGAAGCCGAGCGGGATAAGGCGGAAAGGGAGGAGGGCGAAGCGGAGGAGGAGGAGAATGGTGCAGAGAACGAACAACCAGAGGATGAGGTGCAGGCACTGAGGGCGCGAGTGGAAGCGCTGGAGGACACGAACAACGGGGGAAGCAAGATCTGGGAGGTGAGTGTGTTCTCAATCCGTATGCGCCTGTTGGTCCGCCCTTGGTATAGCCAGCTCGTTACAGCCTGGTGCATACGCTCGACACTCATGACATGTGGGTATCGACTCCCTGTTCTCGTTAGGTCATGCTCAGCTGGCTGCTTGTCTGGCCTTGTTCCCCCGTGCGTGGTCTGCAGGAACTTATTGCAACCTGGGTCGAGGTTCTTCCAGGGAAGACTCGCACGGACCTCAGTGGCGCCTCTCTCCTCTCTGACGCTGCTCTCTCTCGACTTACCTCCTTGCACTCTCTCACGTGGCTCATCCTTCGAGAATCCATTGGCTTCACTGCAGAGGGGGTGACCCAGCTCTACTCCCTCACAGGTCTCACCTACTTGGATTTGTCGGCTACAGTCATAACCGATGCCTCTCTTGAAGGCATCGGCAGCCTGAAGGCTCTTACCACACTTTGTCTTGGTAGGAGTAATATAACCGATGAGGGCATCAAGAGGCTCCTAGGGCTGCCACAGCTCATGTATCTGGATCTTTATGTGTGCCCGTCTATCACCTCCGCCAGCATGGTGGATGTGTGCAAACTGACAGCACTCACATCCCTCAGACTGGACGAGAGTGGGGTGACAGAGGATGGACTGAAGCACTTGACTGCGCTCACCTCACTGAAGCTCCTCACTCTGCCTCGAGGGGTGAGTGATTCCGGCATGAAGTACCTGAGGAACATGAAACTCCTGGAGACACTGGGACTGTTGCATGCTAATATTACTGCTGCTGGTGTCAGGTGGCTCAACGGGCAGGCGAGATGTACAGTTGTGCGCATTTGTTTGGGTGACACAAATGACTGTACATCCCTTTTTTCAACCGCTTGGCTGGCGTGTGGTTTCGACGAGCGGGATTTTTTCCCGCACGAAATTGGCATTGCAGGCTGTCCAGGTGCATTGACATTTCGAGCAGCGTGCAAATTTTTCACATTGACGAGTCAGATTACCGTACAATTTGTCAGCGACGTCAGCGCGTTTCACGCTGACCAATAAAGCGACTCGCAATTGGGACACACTACAGTTTATGCTGTTTTTGTGTGTCACAAGGCGACTGAGACATTTGTGTCTCCACAGGAATGCACCCTAAGAATTTTTTTAGGCACCCTGTCTGATTCTTCAGAGTTTTTTTAACATACGTGTCTGTAATTTCAGACTATTCTTAGTAGTGTAGGCTGAGACTCAGACTTGTATCGGGGTGCAATATGAAACCGATGATACAGGGGTTTGCGCCAGCCAGGCGGCGTGTAGCACTAACCCCGTCAATCATGTTGGAAATAATCGGTCCTAAGCGCCTCTGTCGTGTCGAAACACCAAGGCACAAGCGAAGCGAAGCATACCGAAGCACCGGCGAGTCAACCCTCGGAGGTTGAAGCAACCGCTGGAGGTTACTCGAAAGTCAAAGGTCAGCGACCTTTGACCTGACAAGTACAGCGCGACAGCAAGGACACACAACTGACTCGCTACAGAGTAGTTGCCCGAGTCGTCACTGTATCGAACCGCAACAGCAACAGTAAAAGTAGTTACAACCGTATCTCTTCGCATTCCTTGTGCTCTTATATATTCTTGTATCTCTTTGCTTCAATCAACTTACTTTGCCCTCACATACGGTACTAGTGCAAGGTGGTTCAGAATCTCTTTGTTAACGCTTCCGCTACTACATCATTCTACCCAGAGATTAACCCTACCAAAGATCCTAAGGGGCACTCAGCCCAACATGGTATGAGAGCACGTTAGGGTTAAGATTCTATTTCCCCTTAAATTACACCAAGAGACATGTCTACCAGAAAGGAGAGGAGCTCCTCCAACGGCTCTCCTGGTACTACTCCTACTCCACCTCCTGCCTCTGGCCTACAGACAGAGGAAGGCACAACAACGAGACCGGCCGCTGGGTCTACTGAAACACCCGCAAACCAAGGCGCGGGCTTCCATCCAAGCATGATGGAGAAACTCTTCTCCTTCATGTCCTTCTACGAGCAACATCAGCAAGGAGTACTTGCGCAATCAAACAACAGCAACAACAACAACAACGTGACACCCATGAGTCTCGATGGCTCATCCTACGCACGCGGGAATCAACAACAACAACCTACCTTCGCTCCGTACGAGCCCCAGCGCGGCTCCGTCAGCTTCATGCCACAACAACAACCTGCACCGGGACAAGAGAGAACACTGGACGCACTACAAGTTCAGTCGCAGTTCGCGCACGTTCTAAAACTACAAACGACAAAACCCTTCGATGAGAAGGATTTCTTCACCTGGTCGTTCGAATTCGAGCTGATGATGGAAGGAGCGCAAATCCTTGGCTTCTTCGACGGGTCCCTGCCATACCCAACAAACGGCACACAACATGAGAAGCAGCAGTACACCTATCAATCGATGATGGCGTACACGATACTACTGAGGAACATCACCCCGACTCAACAGCAGAACATAAGGACTTAGCGAGGTTATGGCAACTCCGCGGAGCTCGCGTACAACCACTTGAAGAACATGTATCAAGCAACAGACAGCGTAAACCAAAGTCGGTTAATGGCGCAGCTGACAACAATCGAAATGAAACCAGGCGAGAAGGGAATGGCGTATATCAGTCGCTGCCGCGGGCTGTGCGACAAGCTTCTTCGATGTGGAGGATCGATTTCAGAAGACGCCTTCGTCACGGTTGTCATCGGCGGTCTTGATCCTCACTGGCGCTCCACTCGCGCCATACTACGAGCACACGGGAGAATCTCCGAAGCAGCACTCTGCGCCGAAATCCATGCTGAGCAGCAAGACATGGACCTGCAAGAAGAACGACACAAGAGAAAGGTATTAGTACCCGAATTCGCGTTTCACACTCAACGACGCCACAACAACAACAACAGACGACTGAAAATCGTACCTCCGTTCTGCCACCTCTGCAAGACTTCAGGGCATCCTCGTACGCACTGCCCGAATCGACAACAGTCAACGACGCCGCAACGCCAACTTCGCCCTTCAAGCAGTCAAGTCGCCTCAACGCAAGCAAATCCGACAACTTCGGTACAAGTCTCAACAACATTGACGGGACAACCTGCGAAAGAAACAAGAAACATCATCAGCTGCATGGCAAGGCTGAGCGACTCCTGCGTAACTGAGTCACCACCATATTACTCACTAGAAGAACAACTCGACAACAGCACGCCTCGCCGCGAGTCACTTCAACCGAACCCGACGTACGCCGCCATCGCTCAAAGCGAACCGTCCGGGAAAGACACATGGTTCTTGGACAGTTGCTGCGGACAGCACATGTGCTCCTCGGGACGCTTCGTCCAACGCGAGCACCGACTTCAACGAGAGGTCGTCATCACAGTCGCCAACAACCAGAACCTGCGCACATGACGACAAGGAGTAGTGCAACTTCAGTCACGAGAGACAAATGTTATACTGCAGATGTCAAAAGTACTAATCGCGGAGGGACTCGGCTACAACTTACTGAGCGTCAGTCAGTTGATGACGAAAGGCATATACCTGGAAGCCGACAGTACCACCCAGGAGTTCAAGCTGTACCACGGGAAGGGCGACCTCTACATCGGAAAGGCGGTTCTGAAGAACAATGTCTTCGTCCTCGACTTCGTCCCACACCTGGGCACCGCAGACAGCGACGCCATCGTGAACTTCACCGACTGGACACATCCTCCGGACCTTGATCCAGACTTCGGCCCGGAAGGTTTTTGGTATTCACATACCATTCCTGAAGCAGAACGAACACGCGCGTTAGTAACAATTCAACATTCGGCAGCAGCAGAGACAACATCGGCAGCAGCAGAGACATCATCGGCAGCAGCAGAGACAACATCGGCAGCAGCAGAGACATCATCGGCAGCAGCAGAGACGTCATCAACAGTAGCAGCAACAACGACACCAGTCCTCGTTGACGAAACACCACCAACACCAGCACAACAGCTCCACCCAGCACCACGAGAAGTTCATCGTAGCGCTAACTTCACCACCAGCTTCTATTCCAACTCCGATATGTACCGACGATCACCCGGACATCGCGCCGACGAAAACACCTGGCACGCAAGGATGGGACACCCAAGCAACACTGTGTTAAACAACACAATAAGAGCAGGAGTCCTTGACAAGGACTCGTTACTACTACTGGACGGCAGAGAACTCCAACGGGCACAAGGAACATGCCTTACCTGCCCCGAAGCCGACTTACCACATCGACCGTTCGCTCCTTGTCACAACCCTGTCAAACATTTTATATGTTGTGTTAGTTTAGGCTACAGTGGGTTAGCCTATAGGGGGTACACAATTCTAGGGTTAGGTACTTGTACTCATTTCACTGCTAGTTCATTCATTCCTGTTCAGTGATTCCAACATGGTATAGAGTAGGTCCTTCCTAGGACCGAAATTTTCTAAGGGCCCACCACTACGTACCTACCTACCTGTGCCCTAGGGCGCCTCGGCGTGTCACGCCCCTAGAGGCCCCTCTTGATGGCCCCGCGCTAGCCCCGTTCAGGCCCCGTCGGCCCCTTTAAGGCCCCGTTCAGGCCCCGCGCTAGCCCCGTTCAGGCCCCGTCGGCCCCGTTTCAGGCCCCGTCGGCCCCGCGCTAGCCCCTCTCAGGCCCCGTCGGCCCGCGCTAGCCCCGTTTCAGGCCCCGTCGGCCCCGTTTCAGGCCCCGTCGGCCCCGCGCTAGCCCCTCTCAGGCCCCGTCGGCCCGCGCTAGCCCCGTTTCAGGCCCCGTTGGCCCCGTTTCAGGCCCCGTCGGCCTCGCGCTAGCCCCTCTCAGGCCCCGTCGGCCCGCGCTAGCCCCGTTTCAGGCCCTGTCGGCCCCGCGCTAGCCCCTCTCAGGCCCCGTCGGCCCGCGCTAGCCCCGTTTCAGGCCCCGTCGGCCCCGCGCTAGCCCCTCTCAGGCCCCGTCGGCCCCGCGCTAGCCCCATTCAGGCCCCGATCGGGCCCGCGCTAGCCCCGTTTCAGGCCCCGTCGGCCCCGCGCTAGCCCCGTTCAGGCCCCGTCGGCCCCTTGCTAGCCCCGTCAAGGCCCCGTTTGGCCCCGCGCTAGCCCCGCTCAGGCCCCGATCGGCCCCGCGCTCGCCCCTCTAGGGCCCCAACCGGACCCGTGCCCACCACCTAGAGGCCCCGGGCGGCCCGTTCCCGCCGCAGCACACGAGGGAGAGCGGGCGGCCCGTCCCCGCCGTGACCCGAGCCGCGCGCCCCGAGCCGAGCCGCGCGCCCCGAGCCGAGCCGCGCGCCCTGAACCGAGCCGCGCCACCCAGCCGAGCCGCGACCCGACCTGAACCGAGCTGCGCTGCCCTGCCCTACCTGGTTCGTCCTACCTGCTTCTCCTACTGCTACTGCCGCTATTTCTACTGTTCCTATGGCTAGCCCACAGGTTCTCGTGTTCGATGCTGAGGGCCGCCCTGTGAAGTTTGACACCTGGCTCGATGATCTGCACCTCTACCTACAGCTCACAGCCAAGGATGACATCTCACTGTACGATCACGCCCTAGGCCATGTCACTGCCCCTGCTGCTACTGCTGACAGCACTGCTCGCTCACAGTGGCAGACTCGTGATGCCCACGCTCGCTTCGCCATTCGCAACTCCCTGCCGATAGACGAACGCGAGCACTTTGGTCAGTACAAGACTGCACAGGTACTGTACACATCTGTAGTTGCTCGCTACTCCTCACCTGCCTCTGCCGCACTAGGCCGTCTCTCCCTCCCCTACCTGTTTCCCGACCTGGCCTCCTTTCACACAGTCGCTGACCTCATCACGCACCTCCGTACTAGTGAGGCCCGCTTCCGTGCCGCCATGCCTGCTGAG